ATGCGCTACGTAAAACATTAATCGTTTTACAATCGCTTGGAAATTGAAAATTCAATACATAGAAATTAAATTTTTATATTGAATTTTCAAGGACGTTCGGGTGCGGTGTCACAGGAGCATTCTAGAGAATCAATCTCCACCCTTAGATAGAAATCATCCCCACCATTCATTGTGAAGGTGGAGTAGTATAAATAGGGGTAGGGGGATTCATTCCTAACCATCTTAGCAAGAGAGAATCCACTTCTTAGAGTGAGAAAGTTAGAGAGTCTCTTTGAGAGAGAAGAGAGATAGCTTGGGAAGTTCATATCCTCAAGCTTGAGTGAGCCACCATTGAGTGAGACAATTTTGTAACATCCTTGTAAATCCTACTATTCTTTTGTATAGTGGAAGAATCTCCATATTGGAGAATTTAAATCGTGTGCTCTCATCGCTACCTAATTTCCTAAGTGCCTATCTTAACTTCACGACGCGGGAAACTCCGGAGTGTTTTTTCCCAACAGTGGTATCAGAGCCAGGTTCACCTGAGATCATCATTAGCTCGTGCAGTTCAAGATGGAGGATAACGTCGCTCATGATGGAGACATGTTCAAGCTCACCGCCAATAACTACTAATATTGGAAGCCGATGATGGAAAATCATTTATACTGCAAGGATTTGCATGAGCCCATCATCTACAAAGAGAAGGTTGAGGGAAAGAGTGATGCCCAATGGGAGCTACTCAATCGCAAGGCCGTTGCTATGATCCGTAAGTACATAGACAAATCTCTCTTCGAGCATGTTTCTACTTACACACATGCTTATGAATTATAAACTAAGCTTGAGTCCATGATTCAAAAGAAGACACCTCGTAATAAGGCCAATTTAGTTCGACGGTTGGTGAAGTTGGAGTATAAGGATGGTCATAGTATGATTGAACACCTTAACAATTTCAAGGGGCTTGTAAATCAATTAACCAAAATTGAGATGAAGATTGATGACGAGTTGCAAGCCCTTCTACTCCTGAGTTCCTTGCCGGAAAGTTGGGACACACTTGTGGTTACGCTTAGTAACTCAGCTCCGGAAGGAAAGCTAACCATGGATACCGTCAGTGATAGTCTTCTTGGAGAAGAAGCAAGGAGAATGGAACGAGGTGAGTCAATCCATCCCGAGGCCAATGTTATTGAGAACCGGGGTAGGAATGAGACTCGTGGACGCAGTAAGTGCCGAGATATCAATCTCGAGGAAGATCCAAGTCACGCTCGAAGATCACATGCTACAACTGTGGAAGATTGGGCCACAGGAAAATGGAGTGTCGATCCCTCAAGAGAGACCAAAAGGCCGGTAACGTCAAACCAGACCAAGTCAGCCCCACCAAGAAGCAAGAAGAGAAGAGTACCACTGCGGTGGTCGCAAAAGAAGATCTGCTATATCTTGTTGGAGAAGGTAATATTCTCAACATTGCTTGTGATGACAGCTCTTGGATTGTCGATTCTGGTGCTTCCTTCCATGTCACTCCCCATGGAAGTTTCTTTTCATCCTACCAAAGCGGTGACTTTGGCACGGTTCAAATGGGAAACCAAGATAGAAGCAAGATTGTTGGGATAGGAGACATCGTCCTAACAACTAGCACCGGATGTAAGTTTGTTCTCAAGGATGTGAGGCATGTCCCGGCCATGCGCCTCAATCTTATCTCTGCTGGAATGTTAGATGATGCTGGTCTGATGAACTACTTTGGTGAAGGAAAATGGAAGCTCACCAAAGGAAGTCTGGTCATGGCTCGAGGAAAGAAAGAAGGCTCATTGTACGTGATGCAAGCCAAGCTCTGCAAAGGGGAAGTAAATATAACCACTGATGACATGGAGGTATGGCACAAACGACTTGGACACATCGGTGAGAAGGGACTCCACATACTCGCTCGCAAGCATCTCCTCCCGGACATGAAAGGTAATTCACTCGATCCTTGTGCACATTGTTTAGCTGGAAAACAACATAGGGTTGCTTTCCAAAGATCTTCTCCGCCCACAAGGAGAAAGAACATCCTCGACCTTGTACACACCGATGTGTGCTCAATGTCCGAGAGATCCATTGGTGGTGCATTGTACTTCGTGACCTTCATTGATGATCATTCAAGGAAGGTGTGGTTGCACCTGTTAAAATCCAAGGATCAAGTGCTTGACGCCTTCAAGGAATTCCACGCTCAGGTAGAACGTGAGACCGGCCGGGAGATCAAGTGTGTACGGTCGGACAATGGAGGTGAGTATAGAGGTCCCTTTGAAGCCTATTGCAAGAAATATGGCATTAGGCTAGAGAAGACTCCACCCAAGACACCACAACTGAATGAGCTAGCTGAGAGAATGAATAGAACTATTGAAGAAAGAGTTCGTTGTGTGCTCTCTCATGCTAAGTTACCCAAATCATTTTGGGGAGAAGCTATAATGACCGTAGTTGACATTGTCAACCTCACACCATCGGTTCCTTTGAACGGCGCCATCCCAGAGGAAGTCTGGACGGGCAAAAAGGCTTCATACAATCATCTTAAGGTGTTCGGGTGCCGAGCATTTGTTCACATTCCCAAGGATGAGCGAGCAAAGCTTGATGCAAAGACAAAGGAGTGTATCTACCTTCGCTCACCCAAGGATGAATTTGGTTATCGGCTATGGGATCCAATCAATAAGAAGGTTGTTCGTAGCAGAGATGTCATCTTCTTCGAAGATCAAACGATTGAAGATATTAAGAACTCGGAGAAGCCAAGATTGAGAAGAAGCAAGAACATCGAACTTACTCCATTTCAACGTGAGGATGACACACATCAAGATAATGATGATGAAAACCATGAGCAAAGCAACCAAGAGACTCATGATGAATCAAATCAGGAAGATCCTCAATCTAGTTCTCTGCCAGCACCAGAGCCGAGGCGATCCTCTAGGGAGAGAAGACCATCCATCCGGTATAACACCGAAGATTACATTACACTCACGGATGAGGGGGAGCCGCAAAGTTACAAAGAAGCAATCAATGATATTCATAAAGAACAGTGGAGAAAATCCATGCAAGAAGTGATGCAATCCTTGCATGAGAATCACACTTATGAACTTGTGGAGCTACCAAAAGGGAAAAGAGCCTTGAAGAATAAATGGGTGTATCGAATCAAGACTGAAGATAGTAGCTCAAAGCCTCGCTACAAAGCTCGGTTGGTGGTCAAAGGATTCTGTCAAGAAAAAGGCATCGACTTTGAGGAAATATTCTCTCTCGTGGTAAAGATGTCATCCATCCGAGTTGTCCTTGGCCTAGCAGCAGTTCAAGATTTGGAGATTGAACAACTCAATGTCAAGACGGCATTCCTTCATGGCGACCTAGAGGAAGAGATCTACATGGAGCAGCCCGAGGGTTTCAAAGTTCCGGGTAAGGAAAATCTAGTATGTCGCCTCATGAAGAGTTTATATGGCCTCAAGCAAGCACCGAGGCAATGGTACAAGAAGTTTGAATCCTTCATGGAAGAGCATGACTTTACAAAGACGAAAAGCGATCATTGTGTCTTCATAAAGAGGTATGAACGTGGCGACTTCCTCATACTTCTACTCTATGTTGATGATATGTTGATCATTGGACAAGATCGCATAAAGATAGATGCCTTGAAAAAGGATCTAAGCAAGAGTTTTGCCATGAAAGATTTGGGACCGGCTAAACAAATCCTTGGGATGAAAATAACTCGTGATAGATCGAAGAGACTGTTGTGGATATCGCAAGAGAGGTACCTTGAGAAAGTGTTGGAACGATTCAACATGAACAAATCAAAGCCGGTAAACACACCACTTGCTAGACACTTCAGGTTGAGTTCGAAGCAAAGTTCAACAAATGAGAAAGAAATGGAGGAAATGAAGAAGATTCCATACTCATCGGTAGTAGGCAGTCTCATGTATGCAATGATATGCACAAGACCAGATATCGCCTATGCAGTTGGAGTCGTCAGTCGCTTCTTGGCCAACCTTGGGAATGAACATTGGGTAGCGGTCAAATGGATCCTCCGATATTTACGAGGAACTTCCAAAAGATGTTTATGCTTTGGAAAAGGAAAACCTGTGTTAGAAGGATACACAGATGCAGACTTGGCCGGTGATATTGATTCAAGGAAATCAACATCGGGCTACCTAACTACTTTTGCAGGGGGAGCTGTTTCCTGGCAATCAAAGCTGCAAAAGTGTGTTGCATTATCCACCACAGAGGCAGAGTACATCGTAGCTACTGAAGCTTGCAAAGAGATGTTGTGGATGAAGAACATTCTGCTCGAGCTGGGAATAGATCAAGAAAGGTACGTGTTGAAGTGTGATAATCAAAGCGCAATTTACTTGACGAAAAACTCAACATTTCATTCCCGCACAAAGCACATTGACACAAGGTATCACTGCATCCGAGAAGTCCTCGAGGAAAAGAAATTGCATCTTGACAAGGTTCACACCGACGAGAACTGGTCAGACATCATGACCAAGGTAATACCGACAAAGAAGTTCGAAGATTGCTGTAAAGGTGCAGGTTTGCTACTACCCCCCAATTAAGTCGTGAGGGGGAGATTTGTTAGGATCCCTCCTTAATTAGAGAGGTTCTAGAAAATTCTAGAGCTTTCTAGATAAGTATAGAATTTTCTAGAACGTTCTGGAGAATCCTAGAGAAGTCTAGAACTCTCTAGAAGCTTGTGGAATAGTGTCGAATCCTCTAGAATATTCTAGAGATGTGTGGAAACTTCCGGAAACCTATGGAAGAGTATGGAAGGATATGGAAGAGAGTGGAAGAGTATGGAGACTCCTAGAGTGTGTGGAGCATTCTAGAGAATCAATCTCCACCCTTAGATAGAAATCATCCCCACCATTCATTGTGAAGGTGGAGTAGTATAAATAGGGGTAGGGGGATTCATTCTTAACCATCCTAGCAAGAGAGAATTCACTTCTTAGAGTGAGAAAGTTAGAGAGTCTCTTTGAGAGAGAAGAGAGATAGCTTGGGAAGTTCATATCCTCAAGCTTGAGTGAGCCACCATTGAGTGAGACAATTTTGTAACATCCTTGTAAATCCTACTATTCTTTTGTATAGTGGAAGAATCTCCATATTGGAGAATTTAAATCGTGTGCTCTCATCGCTACCTAATTTCCTAAGTGCATATCTTAACTTCACGAAGCGGGAAAGTCCGGAGTGTTTTTTCCCAACAATTTTCTAAGCAAAATAGCTCACAGGAGAGATTATTATGTATACACGTTACACACCCCAAACACATATCAAATCATATTAAACATACAGAGCAACCGTAATTGAGTATAGAATCTGAGTTGCAAATATGGAATGAAATACACACACGTAAAAACAAATGTCTTAGGCATAGCAACGGATAGGATCAGTGCATCCTTTATCGGTGGACTGCTTGGAACCAAACCTGCCACCCTTCGCAAGGTACTGCTGGTGATACTCTTCCGCTCTGTAGAATTTCTTTGCTGGCAGAATCTCAGTGACAATCTGCCTGTTGAGAATCTTTTGCTGTTTTTCCTTAGACTCTATGGCCGCCTTCTCTTGTTCAGGTGTGTAGAAGTATATTCCTGATCGGTACTGGGTGCCCACATCACCCCCCTACCAAACAGTACTTGACATTACTGTTAAAGAGTATGGTTTATGTAATTGCATGTATTTGAAGTTTATTACTATGTAATTTTTATTAATAAATAATACATGAAAGGTTAGTATAATTTATTTTCTTTGCAGCTATAAAAAACACTAGCTTCGGCTCTGCTTTCGGTATTAGAGAAATTAGAAGAAAGAGCTAATGAAAATGTTTTGTAGAAATCCAAACTAATAAAAACACAGGATTACAAGACATAGAACATCTAGCTCATCCTTTATTATTTATTTTAGGATTATGAAATGGACACCATCAAGCATTTAATGATTTTCATAAATAACTAAAAAATCAAAGAATATTCTTCATATTTAATATTTCAACAACAAATAAGTCATCAAATGACATCATTATTCATTTTTCTTGAAAATTACATAGAATATTCTATTTTTATTTATGCTTAGGGCTATGGCAAGTATTGGCCTTTTCTTTAATTGGAAAAACTGAAAACATATTTTCGACCATCTCTATTCTGGTTAGCGAAATTGACACTTGATGCCCAAAAGAAAAGAGTGGTTCATGACCCAATATTAATAGTCATGCTTTCACACAGTAAGCACACAACTAATTCTCCATTAGGCAGCCATCTCTGAATTATTATGCTTATTAGTAGCAGACTTATTAAAGGGATGTTACCAATTGTTTTTATTTCATGAAATTATCAAACAGGTCCTAAAATGTTCTTGTCAACAACAGGCTAACCGTAACATTAGAAAAAAATAATAAAAAAAAGCAGAACACATTATTAATGTAATAAAGAGATGCACTAAGAAAAGTAGATGGTGAGGAACATCAGGAATATAAGCAAACTTTACACTTTTACAGTACATGAAATTTTACCTTTCAAGAAATCCAGCGACATAAGAAGCATCAAAACACATAAAGAACTTATACTATGTTCTGTTTAACTTCCTTTTACCCTAACCATTAAAAGAAGCACTATTGCCAATTGATCACTACATTTTATGACTAAAGACATCACTTCTTTCTGAGAAGAATAAGACATATTCCCGCTAGAAATAAAGTCTTTTTTATGTTCCATTAGCTGCTAGATTATTTTAGTCAGAGATTAGTATTGGTGGAACACATGAAGACCTAAACTTCTCCATCTTAAGTGTTATTTGATGACTGAGAAGAGCATAATATGAAAATAACATTACATTTTTGCTAGAACTTTTTATTATTAAAAAACAAACTTACCAAATTTTTAATATTAACTCAAAACAGAAGTGCTCACTAAAGTTTTAATCTTTGCTTTTCATTTAATTTTTTATATGTGATTAGTAGAATACACAAACTTCCCCGTGAAGATGGTCTCTAATCTCTATACCCGCCCCTAAATCATTTTCCTTGATCCTAAGGAGTTGTTTGGATGAAGGAGAAGACCTTGGAGGCTTAGTATAAATAGCTTGATAAATAAAAAGTTTCTAAGAGAAAATAAAGTGGGACATAAAAGTTATACGATCAACTATTATGTTATTCCATCACCTTGTATAATTTTCAAATATACATCAAGATAAAGATTTATCCTCCAAACTCCTCATCCATAGTCCAAACTGACCCTAAGAGATGTAATTAAGTAGTTTTGGAATGTAACTTAGTAGCATCGATTATCAAATGATATATACTCCCTCCGGTTTTTAATAAACTTCACACTTTCCTTTTTGGGACGGTCCAAAATAAACTTCACACTTCCTTATTTCCTTTTTTGGCAAAGAAATCTACATCAAAACAGTGCCGAACAGTCAAACAGTGTCAAACAGTGCCTCAACAGTGTACTCTACAGTAAAGTCAAATTTCTTTCCTTATTTTGTGTGAAGTCAAACTGTGAACATTAAAAAAAACCGAAGGTAGTATGAATTAAGAAAAGCTCAGGTATGGATAGTTTTTCAAAAAAAGGAATCATGACTGCCCAAATCCTAATGCTTTCAATCAAAGGAAAAACTATTGACAGATTGAACCAGAGACGCCAACAAAATGGCAAGGAATTCAAACCGATATCATGCAATCAAAATCAGATTGAGAGAAATCCCTCAAAGTTAACAAAGAAAACAAAAAAAATCAACGCACCTGGCGATTGAGTGCAGTAGGATCATGTTTTCCCCAGAAAGCGTCAAGCAGATTCTCATAGCTGCACTCCTTCGGGTCATACTGGACCCGGACTACTTCCGAGTGCTTCGTACTGTCCGTACACACATCCTCATAGGTGGGGTTATCGAGAATCCCCTGGGAATACCCGACCTCCGTCTTGGTAACACCGGGCACTCTCTGAAACGCCAATTCGACGCCCCAGAAACAGCCCGCCCCAAATTGAGCGAACATTTGACCCGGACCCGGTACGTCGTCGTCCGGTACCTGTGCCATTGCGGAGGAGGTGGAGTTCATTTTTTGAAAAATATTACTCCTTTTAAAGATATATCTTCATAACTCACAAGTATAATTAGCACAAGTGCACAACATTATTTAAGATAATGAGTATTGAGTGGCGGAGAGTTATGCAATAGAGGAGAAATGTTTAAGAATGTGTATGTAATACTGTGAACCACATATTTTTTGTCGAAAAAGAAAAGATAGGATAATTTTGGAATTGATAAAAAAGGAAAATACGAAGATAATTCTGGAACATGGGAGTACGAACTTTTCACATTTTCTTACGAAGTGAAAATTTTATTGCATCCCGAAGAAAGAAAGAAAAAACAAGTTTTAGGTAATATTTTCCATCATCTATTCTAATCTTCTAATATAAAAGTAAAAAAAATTTCATGAACAATGTTCTGCTCAAAAACACCAACTTGAATGAGTCATTTATTTTTTTTGTTAAAATAAATAAAAATAGAAATACTATTTGCTAAATATATGAGCACCACTGAAATGAAAATCTCCACTTCAATGAAAAGATATGAGTCTGAATGGAGACATGTTTTAGGTCTTCATTCGTAGCTTAAAGATATGAGTGTGAATGGAGACATGTTTTAGGTCTTCATTCGTAGCTTTCCAAGGTTTAGTTTGTATCTTTGGTTTTATCATTATTAATTAACGTAGAGGACAAGGGCGGAGCTAGGGGGTCAGGGTGATCAGCCGACCCCGCTGAAAGTTTGAAAATATAGAATTCTAAAATTTCTTTGATTTGATATATTATGACTCTTGTGACTCATTATGAGTAAGAAGTTATGACTTCTGAAAAATTAACACTATTTTAACGTAAAATCGACAAAATTTGATGCGTAATAGGGATTATTTTCCTAAAATTTTAAAATAGCGTATAATTATTCATTATTTGCGTGACATGACTCAGAAACAGAGCAAATTAAATACAATCTATCTTATTGGTACGAGCGCCTATTTATCTAAACAACATATGAAACATTCAATTCGGACATTGCTTGTCTGAAAACTATCCACCATTTTCATTTTGTATACAGTTGATTTTCGACCCTCCTGGACCGTTTTTCTGGCTCCGCCACTGGTAGAGGAGGCAGTCGTCCCGGCCTATTTGAAGTCAAGCGTTTTCTCGCGTGACTGCCACCACATATGGAAAACCCTACAAGAATGAGTCACCGTTTGGAGAGGAACGACGAAAACTCTTATCCGTCTAAGCATAAAAAGTGGGCTATACACTCGTATGAGTGATGTTTTCTTTCCTAGGATTTTTAGGGTTCTTCTTCTTCTGTCAATTTTGACAGTGGTGTTATGGATGGTTTCTTTTCAAATTAATGAGGAAGAAGATTTGTTGGCAGAGGCTACGACGTCAAGAGCTGCGAATGCGATTCGAGCGATGGATGATGAAGATGAAGTGATGATGATCCGGCCCCCTCCTGAACCGCCACCATGGAGCATCTGTGAGACTAGGGATCCCGCCGCTGCCATGGGTCATTGGATCCACCGGTTTATCTTTTTTAATTTCATTTTATTCAAGTTTAGTTTTTTAATAAGTAACTATGTTCTTATCGTTTTTTTGTTAAAGTTCATGGTACTAGGTTTATTATGATGACTGAGGTTTCGACTAAATTTGATATGTTTAGTGGGGGACGGATCTATTTAATTTGTTTAGCAATAGTTGTATTATGCCCGTCTGTTTGTTGACGGTGAGATAATTTTGGATAATTATGGAACAGACAAAAAAGGAAAGTACAAAGATAATTCTGGAACGGGGAGTACGAACTTTTCACATTTTCTTACAATGTGAAAATTATATTGCATCTCTAACAAAGAAAGAAAAAACAAGTCTTAGGTAATATTTATGTTCCATCATCTATTCTAATCTTCTAATATAAAAGTAGATTTTTCATGAACAATTGTTCCCACTAAAAAACACCAACTTCTATGAGTCATTTATTTATTTGTCAAAATAAATAAAAAAAAAGAAATACTATTTGCTAAAGATATGAGCACCGTTGAAATGAAAATCTCCACTTCAATGAAAAGATACTAGTCTAAATGGAGACATGTTTTAGGTATTCTTTTGTAGCTTTCCAAGGTTTAGTTTGTATCTTTAGTTTTTATCATTATTAACTAGTTTTTACTCGCGCGTTGCGCGAGTTGGTAGATGCCCAATGAAATTGATATAAGAAATATTAACCATTGAAATATTCCAAATGTGATTAAAAATATAAAGATTGCATGAAGCTGTTGAGTTTGTAATTTCCTTTCTAATTAAAATTATTTTTAAGAAAATATAAAACCATCCTTTACTTTCGAAAGTAGGTATTATTTTTAAGGGTAATATTACTTTTGAAAGTAGGTATTATTTTTATGGTAAAATAAGAGTTAATTGTGCATCCCCTCCGGATCAAGTAATTAAGGCTACAAGAAATACTAAAGCGGTCAATTCTCAGTTCTTCCATCAAAATACTCACCAAATAGGTGGTAATTAAATCAGAGCAAGTAATTCCTAAGGCTTCCCTGTTCTTACATCAATGTTCTAGATAGGAGGCTAATATGCATGCACTCTCAAAACTCCAACATGCTATTCAGGTGAGGAACGAAAGCCGCCTTTTATGCTCATGATGGGCTGCTATAGTATTGAAGCCCCCTACCATTCAAGGATTATTAACTTTTTGTGAAATTGAGATTAATTCTTTCCAGAGAAGCCTTCTTTGTATGAGCCCCTTAATTACATGTTCCCTAAGCTAGCTTCGCAGCAACAATTTTACGATCTTTAGCCTCTGAATGATTGAACCAAATACATCCTACACTTTTTAAAATCCAACCCATCCAGGAAGCTTCTGCATCACGACAACAAGGGCAGTCACCTATTCTGAAATGATGAAATCAATCATAGATGTGTGATTTGTGACAAAAACTGTTTAGGGCGAATGCTAGGCCGCGGACCATGGTATTTGACAACACCAGTCCATGAAGCAACAAAGAAGTTGCATATCAACTCTACCAAAACTCGCTCCTATTTTTTCTGATCAAAGTGTGGTCTGCAGTATAAAACTCCTTCAAAGGAGCTGTAATTGCAGAGCTTGAGAGTGACCTTACAGTGGTGGAATCTGAAACATGCCTTGTGGTAGACTTGCAGGAATCTTGAAATACAGAGATAAATAATTTAGCATTATGGCATTAAAAATTCAGACCCCAAAGTGCTAAAAGATTAAATGGTTAAATCAATATATATAGATAAACAATTTAAAATTCAAATACATATTAATAAACCTGCTTCGAAAATGATACATATTAGGCAATATAAAATTAGGCATGTCCTACGCATTGACACACAAAGATCATTTTTCATTTTTTGGCATTATCAGTTGAGTAATGACATGCAAAATATGTAGGAAGAGCCTTAATAATAGTACCCACATCATAAGAAAAGAAAACAATTCACTGAATCCGAAGTGGAGGATAGGAAAAAAGCTAACCTTAATGGGAAAAGAAGACCATATCTAGCTAACTCCCAAACACCACAGAGGAAATAAATAAATATTCCAGTTCCAAGGTTCGGGAGGATTAGACTTGAAGCATCTGGTAAAATAATCGTGCAGAGGGAAAGTATAGATTGAAAGCGATTGGGATCGACTGGACGACCGTACCATTTAGCGAGACTGAGCTCATGACCACCTGCAAAATGATTCTTCGTATAATAAGAACTTAACATTCAAAATAGTAGGTCCAGGTTAAACTAATTAGGTTTACTAATACTGCTCAGGATTGAAGAAACACGATACTAAAACACCATTTGGTAAGTTTCATTTCGGTTTCACCCTGTTGTTTTCACAAATCAGTAACTAATTTAGAAAATGCTTGAACTGGTTTAGAAAATGTTTGAACTGGTTTAGAAAATGTTTCACTCCAAAAGGCTTGAACTGGTTTAGAAAATGTCAGGTTATCCTAGGTGCAAAAAGATATCGCAAGTTACAAAAACCAGTCCAACACAGTTCGAATTTCAACGTATTAATGACTCTATATTACAAATTTTATGAAGCAATGAACTGTTTATCAGTACATGACAACCTGAAGCATGTACTTAACTAAGAGGTTCCAACAAGAACTTACATTACAGACATGCTTTCACTATTACGTTACAGATTATTTGTTTTGTCATGATTGATTTTATCTTGATTAGCACTCAGAGAAGGTATTTTCACTACTGTTGCTGGAATGAAATTAGTTTTATCCATAATTTCCAGTAGCTTAGCAAGCCACGAAGTCGAGTCCCCAGATCAGTGAAAGACTATGCTAAGCAACATATAGAACAGCATCTGTTAAGCACAAGTAAGGAGTGGCAACTTTTAAAAACATTTAAAAGAGATATCCCAGTTTCAGACTTTAACTCAAGTTTGAAAGGTGAACAGAAGTAGAGCTAACTTAGTAACAGGGGCAGTGTACTCTACATTAATATTGCTACTGCATTCAAACTTTATTTTCTAGTTTTGCTAGACAGTAAAGGTTAAAAAGATGTGAGTACTCCAAAATGTCAAAGCTACACTAAACCTAGCCTTATAGAAATCTGGCTTTGTAATTTAGCTAGAGCACGATAAGAAAGTAGAAAAGAATACATTACAGTGTGGCCTAGAGATTTAAGAACAAGAAAGGGGCAGCATATACTCATTAAACAAGGAAGGTATAAATTGAGGATTGAGAGAAAGAAATTACTTGATTTCATTTGGACATTTAAACAAACACATAGATTGCACAAATATAAAGTGGAAACTAAACACAATTGGAAGATGGAATCATCAACTCAAGCCACCCAAACTACTATCATAAACGATGTTTGGAGCCCGTACAGCACATCCACACAGAGATAAACAAGTAGAATGAAACAGAGATGATGCGGAGAACAGTAACAATAAAGTAACTATACAATACAAATTGGTTGAATAGAGGAAAAACATACAAGAGTAGAACAGGGAAGAAGCGGAAAATCCACTGAAGAGTCGCGACACATTATTTATAATCGACTGGCCGAGGACTTTTGAGAAATCGAAACCGTCTGGAAGCCATTTCGAGCTGAGGATGCTGCGGCTGAAACACGGCTGAAACAGAAGAGAGCAGGCGATAGATTTCAACGAAATAAATGAATGAAATGGTTGAGATAAAAGAGCTGATGATTTGCTCCGTAAGGATATAACGTTGAGGATGGACTCCGTAAGGATAAAACGCCGAAAGTTGCTAGCAGGTGTAAGGATGTACAAGAATGTAAACATAAAGTACAGTGAGATTATGCATCAAGAACCACCAACATTTTTTTAATGTCCGTTTAACCCCTGACAAAATTCCCACTTATAATATTGTAGAGATTAACGTAGAGGAGGCAGTCGTCCCGGCCTATTTGTAGTCAAGCGTTTTCTCGCATGACCGCCAGCGCATATGGGAAACCCTAGAAGAGTGAGTCACCGTTTGGAGAGGAACGGCAAAAACTCTTATCTTTCTAAACATAAAAAGTGGTCTATACACTCGTATGAGTGGTGTTTTCTTTCCTAGAATTTTTTGGGTTTTTCTTCTTCTGTCAATTTTGACAGTGGTGTTATGGATGGTTTCTTTTCAAATTAATGAGGAAGAAGATTTGTTGGCAGAGGCTATAACGTCAAGAGTTGCGAATGGGATTCGAGCGTTGAATGATGAAGATGAAGTGATGATGATCCGGCCCCCTCCTGAACCGCCGCTGCCATGGGTCTGTGAAGAGTTTTTTTTGTCTGTGAATCCGATTCACAATACTTACACAGACATATTTCTTCTGTGACCGGGATTCACAGACAAAACAAAAACTCTACACAAACATAGTGGGTATAAAAGTGGGTATAAAGATGGGTTACAAATAGTTTTTTTTTGTTTATTTTTTGTTCTCCTAATTTTTTTGTCTCAGATTCATACCTTCCAATTTCTTATTCTATGGAGTATTTGTTTTGTTGAATGGTATTCTTTTTGTTTATCTAATTTTGTTTTTTAAGTTCTAACTTTTTTTACATTTATTTATTATTATTTTTCTGTTAATTATTTTTAGAAACTATTTCATTGCAATGTCATTGTTATTGTAACGCTTTGATGTGTATTGTCACATAAATTTACAATGATATCAACATTGTCACACTCTTCATAATGACAATGTTGATAAATGATTTTAACATTCTGACAGTTTTGTAATATTGACATTCTTTTTAAAAATGTATGGTTTCAATAACATTGTTACTAGTTCACATTGTCACAATATTAAAAATAACATTTGTTAGGACTTTTTCTGGTGTCCAATCTAGTTAGATGCCTTTGTATTTGTGTAGTTGTTAGTTAAATGTGTAAATGGGCCACAAGAGTCATATCAGCCCATTAGGCCTCTTGTAAGCCATAAGTTAGCCTCCTTCTCCTATAAAAGGAAGCTAACTTATGAGGAAAACCTAGAGAAGGCATAGAGTATAGAGACAGAATAGAGAATAGATTAGCTTTTACGCTGCTGTCTCTCTCTAGAGGGAGAGCAGCGGCCGGTTTACACGGTGCACCAAAGTTCTCGATACTATGATATGAATGATAAATCTATCTGCTTCTTCTTTCATTCTTATGATTGTTTGGTTGTTAGAATAGGGACTA